GTCGTCTAAGTCGCAGTCGTCGAGAGTGCAATCACGACGTGTTCGTTTCACGGCGACGGAGAGGTCCGGAGAGGAGCGTGCGCAGCCGAGACACCGGGCGACAGGGGGGAGGGGAAGGGTGAAACTGCGCCCTCCGGCTACGATATCACGTCGGCGGCGTTTGAGGGGGTTGAGGGCACGTCCGTTTGCATTCGCGACCCGAGTATCCCGCACGGTCGCACGGTTAAGCGCTCTCGCCAAGTGGCGTTCTCTCGTTAGTCGATGCGTCTGACGCTAAGTGCGTGACTCTGCGCGTGTCCTTTCATCTAGCGACGCGTGTAAACGTGCATGGAGAGAAAGGGAGCAGAAGGGAGACAGAGAGAGACAGAGAGAGACAGAGAGAGAGAGAGAGAGAGGGAGAACCGCTTTGCGATTGTTGCAAAATTCGCGAACCCAATCGGCGTGCGCTCTTAGATTTAGCCACGATCATGAGCGCGCTCCGATCGGATTGACGAATTTTACAGCTGTGTTACACACAACGGTTCTCTCCGTGGAGCTCGATCATTGGCGCCTGCGATCACCATTTCGCGCGCAACGGCGAATAATTTTGATAGCTCGGGCTGCGCGACGAAAGCAGACGCGCCCTGTGTGACTTACGCGATACGTGTCGTCGTCGTCGTCGTCGTCGTCGTCGTCGGTGTTGCTTTTCACGAAACGGTGATGCTTTACTTTTCGGCTTTCTCTCGAGGTTAAGCGCGGGCGATTGTAAATCCTCATTTTTTATCGCGTTTCATGGATCATCCGGGAATACACACACATGCGCGCGCGCGCGCGCAGCCCGTGCTTTTAGCGCAGGTCGGTGCATCATTTTATTCGCCAAGGAGCGTTCTTCGCTCGTAGCCGCTCGCCGCTCGTACGGCGAGCGTCGGGACTTTAGGAGAATTTAAAGCCCCGCATCCCCATGAGGAAATGATCCGTGGCCGCGCGCGCGGACGAAGGATGGTTTTGGAAAAGTCCGTTTTCGTGCGCTCGCCGGGCCGGGCCGAGCTGCCGCTGCGCGACTATGCTTTACGGCGACGCGGAACAACGCAATTGTATACCATTAAGAGGAAAATATCACCGCCGAGATAAAACGCCGCGGTTTCTTCCGACGATGCGCCGTTTGTCTTTCGTTAGGCGATCACCGGCGATTCCTTGCTCGACCGGCGCGGCGCGGCGCGGCGCGCCCAAGTCGAAATTTCTGCACGTTGCTTCCGCGAGTTCCGTCCAACTTGGAGAACCAACGGAGAAACTCGAGATGTTGCGGCCGCCGCCAACGTTCGCCAACAATTCCACGCTTTCGCCAGTGCTCCTCCACCGTACACACGTGAATATTATAATAAAAGAAAGAAAAAAGTCGACGCGGGTGTGTGAGTTTATTATGACGTAACGTCGTGTGTATGTCGTATAAGAGCGACGGGATGGTCTCGCAGTTACGAGGCAATTTTAGAATCGGGATAGCGAATCGGGGGAGCGAAGGAGAAGCCTGACGGTTTTTATTCGCTGACGAGTGTGGCGTCGAATAATAAATAAAGAGGCACGCCATGCGAATGCCATTGCGCGTGCGGAGGGCGGGCTCGGAGTGTTTTTTCGCCGTGGAAACGGAGCTCCAGCTCGACCGGTGATCCGGATTTTATGGGGTTGCTCAATAAAGACGATATTTACGAGGATCGAATTGGCTGTCGAGTGAAGTAACGTATAACGGATGGAACGTGGGGCCGATTTGCGGCTTAACGAAATCCTTGCTCCGTCGTAGTGGCTCCGGCGGCTCTCGTGTATACCGCGACGACGTGGCGGAACGGTAAACCAACGGGATATACAAGCAATGAGATCGTAAACGTGGAAATCGAAGGGTGGAGCGCGCCATGTCCAAGCGTTGCAGCTGCCGTGCAGTCGGGAATTCTTTGCTCGCGCGCGGACTTGGTTACGCCATGACTGCGAACGTGATACGTAAAATACGCCCGGAGTGACGCGAGCTATTATGATCTCTCAGCGGGATGTGCGATTCGACGGGAGGCGGTGTGCGGTGTACTTTCGAAATTTCTTTCGGCGAAATCCCCGCTTAAGGAGAAGCACAGCGACAACCGAGTTCGAGGGAGTTCACTCGGTGAGTGAATGAAAATTCACTCCAATTCCGGGCTCGACTCTGGCAATCACCGCGCGAAATCTTCGAGCGGAATTCCACTCGAGAAAGTTTCGAGAGCGCGCGAAGGAAAGAAAACGACCGCTTGTGGGACACGTATTAGTTCCCAGATGGGGCACTCTGTCAGCGTCGACAGACGCTCAATTTAAATGAGAAATCCGATTGAAAATGAATGTCTGACGATAATTAGTATCGATAATTAATAAATGCACGCAGGGCTTGCGCTAGCCGGGCGTATTCGAGCGCGTCGATGCATGAGGCAAGATCGCGCGCGGCAGAGTCGAGATCGTTTAATTGCACGGTGAATTGAATCAATTTTCATGGAGAATTCCGATCGCTCAGCTACGAGTGTTTTACGATGACGTACAAAAGCAACATTCGGTCGAATATCCATATTAAAACAAACGACGGATAATATCACGACTGCCGCAGCACTTGACACGGCAATATCAATAAAGGCCGCGCGCGCGATTCCGTCACGGTAATAACCGAGGCCAAGTTACTGCAAAATTATCATTTTATTCCGCGATTTAATACGCGATAACGTAACGCGACGCAAATGACTCGTGACGTTTACTCGATAACGGCGTTATTTCGCGACTGACGCAACACGTTCTTCTCTCGTCGCGCGTCGCGGTAAGAAGATCAAAATGACGTGTACACACAGGCAGCATTGCGCGCACGTTCGTCTCGCGCGTGAGGAACGCCAGGAGATACCGTTTTATATAGCAGAGTTTTATAGTAGACAGCGTGGGAGATCGGTATCGCACACTTGATCAGCCCGGAGATCTCTTCAGTGCGATTTGCACAATTTAGATCCCTTTCCATTCCATCAATTTTTCACATTTTTCCCAATTGCTTTTCATTCTTTTACGAAAGTCGGACACAATACAGGTCTTCTCTCTCTTCATTTTATCGACTTTTTTACCTTTCCTCCCAATTGATTTTAATCCTCTTACAAGACTTTGAAGGACTTTTAGATACTCGAGAATTCTTTTTTTTTTATTTTTTTAAATCAGGCTCCCCAACGTAAACCAATAACGAAAATCGAGAAGATGCAACGTCGAAACGGCGATTGGGAGCGTAATAACGAATTATCTCGGCGAGAACATTTTACGATACCGCGGCAGTGGCGGCGGCGGCGGCGGCGGCGCACAGTGGGGCCAGATGACACTTTTTGCTTCAAAATTCCCTAGAGACCTGAATTTCCAACCGATCATCGACATCAATGGATGAGGTTGATCCTGAATAAATTCCAAAGAGATCTGTCCAGCCGAAATTTTGAAAATATTGTCGGTTCAGAGTTCATGGGTTTAGGGTTTGTCTTAAAATTAAAGTACAGTGGTCTTGGGTTCGACCTCAATGGGTTCGAGCCTATGGATACTAAATGCGAGATCCCAGAACTTATAATCACCCTTTAGAAAATTCAGAATTTCATCAGCTCATCAGCTCAGCTAAAATGTTCTCGGATTGATAGATTCCTAGGTTGATGAGCTTAAGACTCAAAATCCCTCGGTTTTGTGCTTAACGAGTCTATATTTGATGTTTTTGTATTTTGAGGATATGAGTTTTGGGTTAATGGGTTTCTGGTTCAAGATCGATAAATCTCGAGGTGTCTGTTGATTCAGGTTTCATAGTTTCAATCCGCTGAATACGCTATCAGATACAGGGTGTCTTAAAAATACCAGGACCTCCGGATAACTTTGCAGGATCAAGTTTTCATGGAAAACTTTGAATACAAAAGTTGTAGAAAATCGAGTAACGGACTTTATGGTGACTTTGAATTTGACCTTGGCCATAACCTTCAAAGTCATTTGAGGGTCAACTTGCGTTTTTTAAATGGGAACTCTTATTTGTTATTACACTGTCTTTTTTACCAATTAATTTGAACAACTTTTGCCTAAAACATTTTTTTATTTGACTAATATTTTTTTGAGATATTTGAGGAAAACTTGATAACTTTTTCAATATTTAACTTACGATATCTCGCTAACTATTTGTCGGAAGCAAAAGTGGTACTAGACTTTCTTGCTTTATTTAGTCTCAAGAATATATTGTTACAATAGCGCCCTGACTTTTGTTAACTTACTGACTTGGAAATTTTTAAATCATCAAATTAACAAAAATCAAGTCATCGTAAGTTAAATATTGAAAAAGTTATCAAGTTTTACTCAAATATCTCAAAAAATATTAGAATAAAATAAAAGAATGTTTTAAACAAAAGTTGTTCAAATTAATTGGTAGAAAAAAACGGTGTAATAAAAGATAAGGGTGCCGATTTAAAAAACGCAAGTTGAAGGTCATGGCCAAGATCAAATTCAAGGTCACCATCAAGTCCGTTACTCGATTTTCTACAACTTTTGTATTCAAAGTTTTTCATGGAAACTTAATCCTGCACAGTTATTCGGGGGTTCCGGTATTTTTAAGACACCCTGTAGAAGTAAGTGTCGAATAATGAGTATTTCACTAGTTTCGCGTTTAACGATAATTTCTCCTCTTTTGGGGCCAATAATACGAGAAAAGAATTTCTTTTTTTTTTTAATTTTGGCAAGACAGATCTCTTCGGAATTTATTCAGGATCAACCCCTCATCCATTGGTGTCGATGATCGGTTGGAAATTCAGGTCTCCAGAGAATTTTGAACCGAAGAATGTCATCCGGCTCCACTGTGCGGCGGTGAGAAACCCCGCACGTTGTTATGCGTCGCCATCCGCGCGTTACGGCGAGTTCTTTGAACGGTTTAGGTCGCGCGGATATCTACAGCGCCATAGAGATTTGCATCAAGGCCGGGCGAACGAGCGCTCCGGGCGGCGTCGTTCATAAATATCAATGTGGCTTACCTGTACAGAGGTTCGCCGCTGTCCTCTTTGAACCAGAGCACCATGGAGACGGCGTCATTCGACTCTCGGGGCTGTATGTTACACGGCAGAATCGCCTTCTGCCCCGCCACCCCTAGTATCGACTCCATTGGTACTGGAAACACACATCGACGACCTCGTTCAGAAGGGTGGTATTCCACGGCGTATCGCCACCGCGAGAAAGCGCAGGATAACGAATAGCGCGGGCTGAATCGTCGGATAACAAAGAATTATGGATTTTTTAGGCGGCCGACGATTCCCCGAGCTCTCCCGAGGAGCCTCGGGAGAATGCCGAAAGCTCGTGTCAACTTCAACGCGTGGATTTCACCCCGCGGTGCTTTATCGACGTTACGATTTTATGTTTGTACAGGGTATTAAAAAAAAAAGAAAGAAAGAGTTCGAGATTTTAACGGCAGATGGTACTAACAGAGTGCAGGAAAAGGCCCTATAATAGACGTGCGTCGAAAAAACTAATCTTATCGAAGTTCTGAACGATTATTTATCTTAACTAATTTTTAATTAAAGCAAGTGACTTACTCGCTTCCGGTGCTTTTGTATTCTTTGATGAAATTTATCTATGTTATTTATCGGTTATGTCTTTTAAAAAAGTCCCTAGTAAAAGTCTCTTCGCTTTTGCTCGAAATATAAACAAACTTTTCACAGTACCCGCAAGGATGACATTGTATTGCTTTCAATCAAGAAACGGCAAAAATGCCCATCATGTACCGCCGTGCACCAGAAGCGAGTAAGCCACATGCTTTAATTAAAATAAATAATTGTTCACAACTCCGCGACAATATCAATTTTCGATATGTTTGTTCGTTGTGATTTTTCTCCTCCATTTGGCGAGTATTATTTGTTCTTAAAATTCTGAATTCTTTCATTTAAACACCCAGCACATACGCGTTTCGTTTCTTCCGCAACGAATTATCGATATCAATTACTTGGCGAATCGAGGGAAGGATACGCTGCTTTTATCCTTGAGATTTCGTAGCCTCGCGATTTCGCACGATGTCGAGCCGTTTAATTCCTACGTTAATGCTCCCACAGGAGTGTGCAAAATGTTACATTTTCATCGACGGGGCGTGCATATTCGCATTCGAGCGATATTACATTCTAACATGGCGGCTCGCACGGCGATACACGAATCTACACGCGACGGAACACATCTCGATGTATAAAATTATAACGCCCGGTCCCGCTTTGAAAGGAGAGAAAGACGATAAAGCCGAATCGGGTATAAAGAAAACGGTCGTTCGACTTAAAGTGGCTCCTCGGAGCACGGTTCACGACACTTTTCATGTCGCCGCACAGTGGCACGCCGTTCGCTGACGAGTATTTCCAGCAATAATGCAGATTTTTATCGAGCAACCCTCTCCCCTCCTTCCTCTCCTCCTCCTCCTCCTCCTCCTCCTCCTCTCCTTCCTCCTTCACCTCTTTTCACGTCGCGGTCGCGGCGACTCGTGAATAATCCCTCTCTCGGCGTTCCCTCTCTTTTAATCCTTGCCCACAGGAATCTTCCTGCCGTCGCGGCGGCTCATAAAGCGCGACCTTTGATCTCTTGCATCGAACGCGATCGGATATTTGCACTAATTAGCGGCAACATTTTCGCATGATATCGAAAGATACCGTCGCTCGCTATTTATTACGAGAATATTAATATCGATATCAACGAGAGTACAGAGCTGCCGTTATATCAATTCAATTCCGCGGGTCGGAGTTCCGTCGAATTAGAAAATGTAATAAATTTCGGAAATGGCTCGTCGACAAAGAGGCGTGGCGTGTGTCGAAATACAGCGTCGACATCGGTCGAGGTAAACGCGCCCAGATAGTCTAAACGACGCACGGCCGGGATCGCTTCATTTTTGCAAAAACTCGCTTGTTTCTTTTGGCTTTTGTTCAACGTCTGGCGTTCCTCCGCACCGCCGCGTCCGCTGCTTCAACATCCCCGAGTTTTCGCTCCGCACTTCCGACGGAAGAGGGCGAGGGGCGCACATCGTCATTGCAATTATCGTTTACATTTTTACAGCGGTCGTAAACGCGCGTGTGCGCGCAGGAACGCACGCGCGCGCGCGCGCGTCGCCATGCGACGGAGCGCGCTTTTCGAAATTTGCGACAGCGTCTCGGCGTTTTATTCTCCCACAAGTGCGCGAAATGAGGGTCTCGCGCGAGAAGACCGGCGCGCACCGCGATGGCTTTCCTCGCCCGGAATTCGCTTAAGTCGACGAGTCGCGCCGGCGCTCGTCGCCTGCGAGAGGACGGGCGGCCCTATGCATGCATTTTCGCGCGGAAACACGTATTGCATTTACGTCGGCGCGTTACAACGACTTTATGCAAGTACGTGCCCCCCCCTTTGGCTCTGAGGACGGGGGAATTCGCCCCGACGAGAGGCCGAGCGTAGCGACGACGCGACGGCGCGGCGCGGCGCGGGCGGTGCGTACATTGTCATGTGCTCGCGCGATGATATTCGAAATATATCGCGCGGCTAGCGTCGGCTTGAATCGCGTCCGGATGAAAATGAAAATCTTTTCCCACACTCGTGCCAGAATCCGCCTTACTCGCCGGCGCACCGGGAGGCATCCTGGCGGCATTCTGATTCCGATTTCCTGCACGCTCGCGTGGCGGTCGACACCTCGAACGCCGCCGCCGCGGTGGTTAACCGGTTACACAGGGAACGAAGTTTGCTCGAATTAACACGACAGCGAACGAGCCGGACACGTTTCCGTCGAAGAAGACCGTCGAGGAATTCCCCCCCCCCCACCCGTCTCCTGCGAACTGTGTCGCTCCCAAGGACCCAGAGATTCCGTTCCTCCGCGCAACCGAAACGCATTTGCTTCGTTCATTGTCGCGTTATTTCCACCGAACCTTTTGCCCCTTGTGCCTATTGTGTTACACCATCGTGTCTTGTCGCGACACTTTCGCTCGGGGTTATTGCTGCGGACTTATCGCGGAAAAATTTCCATTCGCGGATCTCGAGCGTAGGGATGCCGATTCTGTTTCAAACAGATCGATTTAAAGATCGATTCGAATCACGAAGACAAAAATCGATCTTTAAAAAATCGGTTTGTAAAGAATCGATTTCGGAAAATCGATTTGAATATCGGTATGCATGTAAAGTGAACCACTCATTAAAGTGTGCTATCTGTTAAATTTCTACACTCTAAAGTAGACCTCGTGTAATTCATATAAAGTTTAATATGAATTAAAGTAATTAAACAGATGGTACTCTTTTGGTTGTGTTGTGTGTGTGTGTGTGTGTGTGTGTGTGTGGCTACAACAAGATAGAAAAAGATCTTTAAATCTTTATGCTAAGGATTTAATTAGTTTGATTAAACATCAATCAAGGGTTTTTAAACGTTATTAAATATGAAATCACGTTTACTATCATATGCGTATACATATGTATGTAATATATAATGTTATATGGAGTGGCTGTGATTGATTCGCGCGTTCCGTTCCGCTGAAAAGCTTCGCCCATGGGACATCGGCCTAAAGGCAACGTAATGTGCATTGTGCAGCCATTAAGTGAGTTCAAATATTACAACTAAAAAGAATTAAAAAAAAAAACTATAGGGGGAAAGGTTCGTATATTGGACCAGCTAAGAAAAAAGAAGTATAAAACAAGAATCCGAATTAATTATTAACTGAAAAAAAAATAATAAACACTATAAAGATGTAGTAAGCACATGATCTTATTAAATTAACTGTATTCTTTTTAAAATAGTTACAAATGCTTATTTTGAAAATAGCCTCGAAGGTCTGAATTTAGGAGGCCGATTTCTTAATTTGAACCACGTACCTCCTATATTAGACCATCTGTGTTATATCGCTTTTGAATCAAACTGTTCATAAAAAAAGATGTTTAATAAAAAAATAAGTAATGAAACAGAAGTGATGAAACTAAGAAAGTTATATACTATTACAATGAAGAACAAAAATAAAATCAATCAGATAAACAATTCATACGCTCATAGTAAGTTTGACCGCCACCAGCACATTTTAAATGGGCCCATTTTTTGCATGAAATGCATTGAATCCATTCTTCTCCTGGAAATGATTGCAAGAATGGTACTAGGCAAGTTTTTGCAAATCTTTTCAGGTAATTCCAAATAAATTTCTTTCTAACGTGAAAATATGATCTACTACTTTCTTCTTCTATCTCTGGTGGAAGATCAGTACTTCGTCCAAATTTCTCTTTTATGCCACGCGCAATTTTATTTCCATCATCTATTCTTCGTTTTGAGGTTACTTTTGGTATATTAAATCTTTCAGCTATTTCATTTAAACCTTCAGCATTGCTTTTGAACGCATTTAAGGCTTTTCCTATACTTTCTTCTTCCCACTGACCATATTTGTCACGTTTTGACATTTTTTCACTAAAAAAAAAATACAATTTTAAAAATTGGACCAGTTCAAATTAAGAACTTTGTGGTGGTCCAAATAAGGAAACTAACTCCAGATTTACTTCTTAATGATAAAAATAAAAAATATCACAAATTGCATTAAATCATTGATACCAAATAAAATTCTAGGAATTTCTTAATATGTACATCGAAATGCAGCTAAATTGTACTCACCATAAATATTTTATAGCTTAAATAATCTGCATTCGTTAATAGATCAGCGTGCATACTAACAGAATGTGTGTTGCTTGAGAGGCTAGATTTCAACTTAGAGAGTCACATATTTTTAGGAGGTGCTACAATCTACGTTTCAAATTAAGGACCTTTCCCCTATTACCAGTAGAAACTGAAAAAATCGTGTTGGCGATTTTCAGAATTTACAGATCGATCCTTGAATCGATTCAGTTCCAGAAAATCGACTTGAAATCGATCTTCTAGGCTCCGATTAATCGATCTTCGATTAAATCGATTTAAAATCGGCATCCCTGCCCGAGAGCTCGCAGGCGGAGAGAAATCGCGAGGACGGCGGCGGCCGCTAAAGCGCGTCGAGTTTACGCACAAAGCTTATAATGAATCGTCTACATCTACAAAGAAATGGATTGTGTATGGTCGGTATAGTCGCGCGTTTACAGTGGCGATCGCGTCGACTCGACGCGTGGAGGGGGCGTTAAATTCAAAGCGAATTGGCGCGTAATCGCATAAGTGCGACGTC